TAGTCCGGTTTAAAAAAATCATTTCACATAACATGAAATCAAACTCATAAGAAAAGGCTAAAAGCAATAAAATAGGTATATTCAATTACATAAACTAATCACCATAAAATGAAAAAATAATATGAAAACAAACTAAAATCGTATTAAGACGAAATTTTAATTTAAAAAAAAAAACAACTTAACACCTTATCATTTCTTATGTCACTCCAACAAATTAATAGTTTATATATATATCATACATAAACTAAATCAATGCTTATTTATTTCTTCATTAGTAGGCTATTAGCCTTCACTACACTATTATAAAACTAATAGGTATGTTTGTCTTCAGTTAAAATCTTTTAAGAAAAAAAAAACTAATTATCTTTTTATTAAACAATTATATTGAAAAAAATCAAACATAAGTTTTCATACACAACTATAATACTGTTAAATATAATTAATTAATTAAATCGAACCGAACCAAACCGAGCTGTTTAGTTGGGAATAAACTCAACCAAACGGTCCCTACTTTTGATGGTCTAATAATATAAAATTTAGATGGAAAATGAAAGACTTACCAGAGCAGGCACGAGAAACAAAGGACCACCACAGTCAGCAGGCCAAAAGCCATCTTGTGATTGCAGTGTTGAGTAGAATCTCAAACTTCTTCTGAGTGTGACATTCACAACTTCTAAATTTATCTCTCCTTCTTCACCATTCACTTTCACTTGTGGAAGCCTCTCCCTTCCTCTTCCTTTCTCTTTCGAACACTGAATTTAATTTCATGTTTTCAGATCAACCCGACATATATTTGATACACTTTTTTTTTAAACAAGATAGATCGGTAACATCAATAAGATCATTTACAAAACCTTCATGTTATCCGTTAGTTTTATCCATCTGAATTTGGATTGAACTGTTTAATACCCACATGCAATATAATATATATAACTATAAACACCATGAATATTAACTGTAATGGATGAATACATTACAAGAACACATGAAATTCAACTCCGAGACATATAAGCCCAAAATGATGCTTGCGGTCTTCTATTAATTTCTACAAAACGATTCATTTTTCTAATGACAATGTGCAAAATCGCCCTTGTGTTCTTCTCTACCTTGCGGCTTTCGGGCCGACTGTGACTAGAAGAATTTTCGTATATGTATTACTTAAATTTTCACTTGATTTAGATAAGCAATTCTTCGATTTATAAGAAAATATGCCATATTTTATAGAGGAATTGGCAAAACTAGCAATGTAAACATTTATAATTTTTCATATGTCCATATTAATTGATGGTTAGGATACATGGTGTGTAAAGTGTATCTATACCCAAAAACCTTTAGAGAAATTTCAAAAAATGCCACTTTTCAAATGCCACTTTACAAAAATGCCACACTTTTGAAATCTTTACAAAAATGCCACTTTTTCAAAATTATTTTTTCTTTATATCATTTATGTTTGGATTAATTATGTTCTATTAGGGTTTAGTTATGAGGGTTTAGGGGGTTTTAGGGGTCAAAACATTTTTTAGGG